CACTCTCAAGAAGGAAAGAGAAGGGGATGCAATTCTCATTGCCTACATCCTTCTTTGAAACTCATCAGTTGTAGATGGAGAAAAGCCAGGAATGTCTCCACATAAATCTCTACATACAGGAAAGATTTAGGGGGTGCAAAGCAAGTGCCCCTGCATTTGGCTACAAAGGAGCTCCAGTGGTGCAGTGGCTAAAGCTTTCAACTGCTAACCAGAAGGTCGACTATTGGAACCCACCAGGTTCTCTGCAGGAGAAAGATGAAGCAGTTGGCTTCTATCAAGATTTACAGCTTTGGGAACTGTATGTAATGATTTTACTCTGTCCTATAGGGTCACTAGGGACTCTGGTGCCACAGTGCCTAAGGCATTTGACTGTTAACCAGAAGGCTGGAAGTTCAAACCCATTAGCCACTCCTCAGAAGGAAGACTGGGCATTCTACCTCTGTAGAGATACTGCCTTGGAAACCCAAGGAGGGGTCGCTATGAGTCGGAACCGACTTGATGGCAGTGTTTTAGTTTTGAGTTATAGGGTCACTATAAGGAGCTCTAGTGGTACAGTGCCTAAGGCATTTGACTGCTAACCAGAAGGTTGCCAGTTCAAACCCACCAGCCGCTACTTCCATAAAGATTTACCACCTTGGTAACCTAATGGGGGTTGCTATGAGTCAGAATCAGCTCTATGGCAGTGAGTTTGGTTTTGAGTTATAGGCTCGTGATGAGTCACAATGGGTTGACACTGGCCACAACAGTGAAAATGAAAAGAAACACACAAATACCTCAGTTTTGTAAATAGAAATAATAGGAGGGCTGGTACTTTGTCATTGTCGGAGGTTGAGAGACATTAGAGGAACTGAAGATGACATTCAGATTTCAAGCCCCCCAAAAATTATTTATAGCCAAAGATAAGGAAGGCAGAAATAAGATGAGCTTTAAAAGAAATGAAGAGTTGTGTTTTTGTTTTGTTTTGTTTTATGTTGGATATAACTTGTTAGTGGGACATTTAGGTTGGGAATGTTTGACAAGAGCTAGAATTGAGGGTCACTGAGAAAAATTACATCATTTAGGACTCACATAGTTAAAGGTAGCATTTGCTATGGGAGTAAATGAGTTTACTCAGACCAAGAAGGTAGATTGAGAGTAAAAGACATTCTTCTTGGACATTCTTCCAAAGAACCTATCTTCCATTGTTTATGTAATTTTTTTATGTATCCTGGATACCTTACATTATATTTTATGTATTACTTTATGTAATACTCAAAAATCTTTCCTGGCATTTGTCACACTGCTACCTGGTGTGACAGTACAGTGGCCATGGGAGGAAAAAAGAAATAAATAGAAAAGATGGGAACACACATGAAGAATGTGCTCCTCTGAATAATCAGCTATACTAGACCAAATGGCCAACATTTACCCAAAAGCAAAGATGAGAAGGCAAGGAGAGACAGGGAAACTGGATGGTTGGGAACAGGCCAGGGGGGGTGGAAATGGTGAGAATGGTGACACTCTG